CATAGCATCTCTCTGTACAGGTTGAGTTTCAACTTTAAAACGAAAAAAAAGAAAATTATATGGATGCAACAGTGATTAAATCTAAAACTTCTCTTCTATGTGCCTCCGTCACAACTTGTAGCCTTTAGAATAACCCAGAATCAACATAACACTGAAAAACAAACATTTTCTCCCAGTCCTGTCAAAAGACCCTGTCATGAAACTGCGCATGTGCGCATAATTATTGTACAGAACTGCATAAACAGATCTTAAAACCCGCAAAGGATGTCTAGTAATATGAAAAGGACATGTAAGAAGCTTAAATATAGAAAAGGAGACACTGGTAATTACCAAAATATCCGGTCAGTATGTAGAAGAGGGTAGTGGGTTACTTTCGAAACAGTTTTGACATTTTTCTGCATGAAATCCACTACTTTCAATTATTCTAGACATTGTTCCTTGTGCAAATGAATTGTTGAGAAGATATGATCACCATCTCCATCAACAATCTTGACTTGATAGTCCCCATGGCAGGGGAGGGCATGAAGTATTTCTGGGAAATTATTGGGTTGTTAAACAAAACCGAAATCCATCAAAACAATAGTGGAAAACTTTCCATGTGTGACAACCAGTATTACAGTATAAAAAAAATAGTGTATGGAGTGCTTACCTTGATGAAATCTAAGACTTTTCATCTGTAGCAAAAAGTGCATTTACCTTGCGAGGACCAAAATGAATGTGACACAACTCTTTACTGTAATCTATCAAGTAGTCCACATATTGTTACATGCTTGTGAAAACGATTGTTTTGTAATTATCAACATCTGTTTTCCGAACTCATGTATGTAATTCATTCTTATAGGTTTGCTGTACTACTATTATATGTTTTGGTAATTATTTGCACTTCTATTTATAGTAGCCTTGTGCATGTGCACTTTGCCACTGGGAGATTTGACAGGCCATGCAATGCCATTTGTTGAGAAATGTTTCATTTTAAGTCTGGTGTGTTGTTTCCGGGTTATTTTTAAAGCCATATAGTAGATATATAGAATAGATAGACTTTAGGGTCAATATGTAGTATAAGATAGTGGCAGAATTGGGTAATAAAACCTACATGAAATGATAGAGCAATACAAACCAAGGTGATTGTTACGGAGAGCAGAGACTAAGTTCCAAAATGAGATTTTTTTGAGGTTTCCTCTACCCAATGATCTTGGGGGATGCGTGGGGAACCCGGGGTTGAAAGGGGGAGGGGGGGATAATGGATGGCACTGGATGTCAATAGGAACCTGCAGAAATTGAAGAAAGTGACTTGAGAAACGTTAAAAAGTCGATATTTCGAAAACCCAAGCCAAAATTCTGTCCCAAAATGCACAAAAAACGATGGAAATTCACATTTGTGTTGGTCCTGGCAGGAAAACATGGATGGGGACTTAGTCTCACAATGGCAGGTTCATGTCACCTGACCTATAGCCAGTTTTTCCCTTGACATCAGGTTCATGTCACCCTGACAGCTGGTTCACACCACCCGCCCCATGACTCAGATTTTTTCATGAGTTGATGGTCATGTCACCTGGATCCAAGGGTTTAAAGATATAAAGAAACCTCCCCAGACACAACTTTGTCCTGGTGGTCCAGTCAAGCAAGACAAGGAGGTCTGAACACAACATAATAGTTGATTCCTCGGAAAACTTTCCGCGCATGTCAACCAATCGTACAGTAAAATAAGAGTATGGAATGGATACCTTGACGAAAAGTAAGACACTTTTCATCTATGGCAACAACTGCGCAAATCTAAAATAAGGGAGATATAGGACAGAGAAGAGAGAAACTCGACCCTTCATTTTCTAAGTTCCCTTCCATGTTTACCTTGCGAGATCAAAACAATTGTGACGCGTAACTCATTACTGCGATCCAGCAAGTAGTCCATGTATTGCTACGCGCTTGTGAGAACGCTTATTTTGTCATTACTAGCGTCTGATTCTCTGAATTCGTGTATGTAATGCATTCTTCTAGTTTTATTATACTTCTCTTGCGTCTTTTGGTAATTATTTACGTTATTCTATACAATAACCTTTTGCGCATGCGCGTTTTCACCGGGAGATTTGACAGGTCGACCCACCGCCATTCACTCAGAAACACCGGTAAAAAATGTTTCATTTCAAGTGCTGTGTCGACATCGGGTTATTTTTAAAACTATAATGTGGATATACAGGACAAATAGACATTATTCTCAATCACAAGCCTGATATTTGAGCCCAACAAGTGCCCCAAATGCCGAAAAAAGTGATTAGAAACCAAGCAATTCTGACCATAGACGGAAGCGCAGAAAAGTTCGTTTTTTCGCTTTATAAAGGTATGTGGTATATTACTACGGGGGTCCAGGGGGCATAGCCCCCTGGCTAGGTGCATTTAATACCATGGGGGTCCAGAGGGCAGAGCCCCCTGGCTAGGGAATGTATAGATCGTAGTGTATAAATCCCACAGGGTTAGGTTAGGCTAGGCTAGGTTAGGTTAGGTT